ACTTTTCTTAGGTCCACATTTGTGTGACCATTTTTCTATAATCTTTTTGCTGCTGTAAACACCAGAATTTCCCCATTGTGGGACAATAAAGGGATTTTCTATTCTGTTCTATTCTATTCTATTCTATTCTATTCTATTCTATTCTATTCTATTCTAACAAGCAATATGTCTGTTAAGCAACTGACTATAGGTTTGCAACCTGAGCAGAGTAATTAAAACACCTTTGTAGACATAGGAATTACACTGCACAACCTGCCTGACAACCACTCTTCAGTGTGGATGCTGTTTCTGAGTGAAGGCCAGTCAAAGTAAGCTATTTTCAGTATTGTTTAAAAATCCTGTTTCATGAAGCAAATACATGTTTCAGGCTTTGGAAACAAGAAGAACACAATTTATCTTTTTTTTCACGGTAACAGTGAACTCCACATAGACTTAGTGCCAAAAACCTAAAAAACAAGTACCTGGAACATAACTTTAGGAGCTTTTTAGTTATAGCTCTGCTAGTCTAATATAAAATAAATAGAAACTGCATTTCTCTATTGAACTTTAATCAATTAGATCATGTCTTAAGGTGAAAAAAAACAACATTCTTTTTAATTTATCAAAACATTATAAAACCAGCCTATGAACCCTTTATAGGGCAAGTTAGCCCATCCCTCGGTGAGGTCTAGAGGCACAAGATCTATACCCAGCCATTCAGTACATCTTATTTTGACATTCTAGCCCTTGAATGATATCTTACCTACTGTTAATTAAGTTGAAAAAAGTTAACAAGTCAAGAAAAAAAAGGTAAAAAGCTAATAGAAAAGTTAAAAACTTAATAAGCCTAGTTAACAATTATATTTAGGGTTTATAACCTAAAAAAGTGCCAGTATCAGCATGAATGCCTCTAAGGTTATGTTGGACAAAAAAAAGTTTCTTTCACTCTAAGAGTGTTTCTCATAAATTTCTTAAAGAAGCACTTTTGTTATTTTTCTTAATATATTTGGAAAAGTTGGCATTTCTTGTTATTACATTGACATTAATCCTTGCCATCAAAATATACATTTTTTTTAAAGGTACAAAGGTAATAAGGTCTTGTCCTGCATTCCAATAACAGTATTGGCTTGAAATTTGAAAATATAAACTATACGGTAAAAGAGGGTAATTCATAGGTGAGTGGATATGATCTATAAAAATAAAAAATAAAATAAATAAATAAACTAAGGGCCACAGGAGCCCAGTGATTACTGGTCTATACATCAGTAGTTACTAGTTAGAGCTTAGTTAAAACTACTGGTGAGCTTAGAGGATGTTCTCTATTTTTTTACTTTGTGTTTTTAATTTTATTTTTACTCCATTAATAGATTATAACGTTTAAAACTAGTGAAAAAAAGTTACTAAGAACTTCTTTAAAAGTACAAGAATGTTTCAAGGTTTGCCAACATCTGTGCGTAAAGGGAATGCGCTCCTATTGTTGCGCCTGAGCTGCGGAATGCTGTCACTGAGGCAGTTTCTACCAAACTAAACGCAGATAAACACTAACCAGTTTAAGAAGCTGTTAAATTAACATAATTAATGATCATTTTTGGTATGATCATTTGACACAAGTCAAAGATATAACTAAAAACTTTTTCTTTTTTTTTTAAACCTACCTTTCATCCAGTCGACAACTTGCCTCGGCGTCCACTTAGTTATGGGCTCCATGGCTTCTTCAGTGAAACTAACTGAAATGTGGAAATAAATACATTGAAACTTTTAACTTTCTCCTGTCATGCTCTTCACACAAGCACAGCGCGTTTCCTCTGATCGCCTTCACTCACTAAACAACTGTGAACAATCACGCATGACTGGAGGTTGGACTACCCATAGATACTACCCCCACAGCTCCAGACTGGAATTGATGCTGCCTTCACGGACTGCCGGAAGCGCTCGGAAATAGCACTATTTATATGAAACAATAAAATAAAAAAAAACCTCAAATGGAGAAAATTGTGTAATTAATTGTGATGAGTCTAAAGTACTGTTTCTATATTTTACCTAATGCATTTTATGGGATTTTTTTTTTTTTTATTATTTACTGTTTTTCCTCTGCATATCGCTACCTATAGACATTGATGTTGCTTCAATGGCCGGCCGGAAGTACGGAAGTGGATTAGGGCCACTGAAAAAATAAAAAAAAAGTGAACTGATTTTTAAATATTATTTCAGTTTAATATGGGAATTCGGACTTGAATCTCAGAATTCTGATAAAATGTCATAATTCTGATAATAAAGCCAGAATTCTGAGAAAAAAAGTCAGAATTCTGAGGAAAAAAAGTAAGAATTCTGAGGGGAAAAAACAGAATTCTGAGAAAAAAAGTAAGAATTCTGAGAAAAAAGTCAGAATTCTGAGGGAAAAAAGTAAGAATTCTGAGGAAAAAGTCAGAATTCTTAGAAAAAAGTAAGAATTCTAAGGAAAACATCAGAATTCTGAGGAAAAAAAGTAAGAATTCTGAGGAAAAAGTCAGAATTCTGAGAAAAAAGTCAGAATTCTGAGGAAAAAGTCAGAATTCTGAGGAAAAAGTCAGAATTCTAACTTTTTTCTCAAATTATACAGAAATACAATTTAAAAATCAGTTAACTTTTTTATTTTTCTCTTTTTATTCGGTCAAAAAAACCCAAAACAAAACAGGTATTGCCAGTAAGGTATACTTCGAAAACATACAAACCACAAATTCTATTATAACTTATTTTAACAAAGTTACAGTTTACATGTTACATGCTTCATTGTACACTGACACACTTGCACACAAACCTTTTTTTTTTCTTCAAAAAAAGATATGTTTGTTGTTTTTTTTAACTTCATTACAAGAAGAGCAGTCAAAAACATGAATGAAATTTCCCAGAGAGCACCCCAGCCTTGCCTGTAATCCAAGTTATTTATAAATATAGATGCAAACTGAATATTTGATCATTCTTTAAAACAATTTGGGTGGGTGGGTCGGTGGGGGGGGGGGACTACAAAAGCACCTCCCAGTAATGAGTTGGTGTTTCAATAAATCTTATTCTGGGGCTACAGACCTTTTTAATGAGTGCATCTAGAATTTTACAAACTAGTACTACTTTTTATACTAGATATCTATAATTTTACTAAATCTCAGCTGAATTGATTCAGTCACACCTTTGCTCATTACAATTATTTAGACAAAACAATTAAATGACTCACCACTGACCTCTACTGGTCGAATAGTAGACAAAGCAACACACAGCTTCCAAGAACCACACATTATCCAAGCTACAATTACCTAATTGTTAAAAAAAAGGAAAAAAAAGTGTTCTGAGTAATGCAGGTGGAATTACCAAGTAGGAAATATTTTGAGTTCTGAAAAGCACACTCTACATTAAAGACTCTGGGGAAAAAAGAGGATTCTAAAAGTAGTTAAAAATTTCCATCCTAGTTCCTTATATCAGTCACTTCCAATTATTTGATTTTTTTTCTGTTTAAATTCCCCTTTGTTAAAGTCAAGACAACAAACACTTAATGAATGTTATCTCTATGCCTCCTGATAGTTTTCCAGCTGGGTGAAACACACCTCGCACATGGGAAAGTCTCCTGGCCCAACCCATCATTCCATCATTACACAGCTGCACTATAATCAGCGCCAGATGAAACCTCTTGTTCCTGTTGAATGCAGTCATATACTGCTTCTCTTAGGATTTTACTAATATAACTAAGGTTAACATGATGTGTGATGGAAACCAATCAAATTCCTAATTTCCAAACTCGAATTAAGCCGATGCTGGTGTTTTGCCATTATGAACATACTGGAAACCACATAGGATTGTTGTTTTTACTGGTGTGTTTGTGCCCACAAGGACCTAGGATACCTAGGATGTTCAAACTTGGAAAACAAAGTCCAGTGGATTGCTTTTTCTTTTTTTTTATAAATTTTCTGCAATGACTAAGACCTGGATGACTGAGAATCTTCACCAGCATACCTAATACCGTTTATCTATTTCACTTTTTTCACATACGATTAACAGTACTTTGGTTTAGGCTGTTTGGCGTTACTGATTGAAATGGAAAGACATAAATCCCGCCTCTGCTTTTCAAAAAGATTTATGCGGCTTTAGGTGGGCTGGAATTCAGCAGAAGTCCCACAATAGCTTTAAAGGAATCATGAGATGGGTGTGAAGGTGAGGCAGATGGTTTGAAACAGCCCGTTATCCTACATTAAAATGAACATGATGGAAAAGGCAGGAAATAGGGGAAGAGTTTGGAGGCGATGTGTTACATAATATGTAACACAATATATAACCTGTTTTTATATTTGATACCCAGTGCAATAGCTATACCTATAAATATATAAATACCCACCTATATAAATACCCATTTAATATCCTGTGCAATAACCCTGTATAATAATCCTGCTAAGGAAAAAAAGATTAAGGCCGTCATGCATATATGTGGACGCACTGTATATACTGTATATAACCCAATGCACATTTTCTTCCTTTTGCTCCTTCCTTTTCTTTTTGAAAATTGAAGCTGATATAACAAGTGCATTTCTCCACTGTGAGATCAATAAAGTTAATTAATCAAAATAAATGTCTCATCCTTCCCTTATAAAACCCGACAGCCTCCTTTTATTCCGCATAAACATTTATTAGTTATTTCATTTACTTGATAGAGGCAGGCTTACAGTTTCATATAAATAAAAGAAAGCACATGAAATCAAATGCACAGGAAGTAATCCACCTCTCTGTTAGACGACAGGATGTAAAGGCTTCATTAATGTGGCTTCGGTGAGAATGAGCCCTACTTCCTGGGTTGCTTTCTAAATGCTGAACAGATTTACAGTGGGAGAGGAAATGTTAGATAACCTGTTGCCAAAACATTTTGCTCCACTCATGTGTTGGTTCATGTCAGTGTGGGTGGCCCTGCTACCATAACTAAACCAAAAAAAAACAACAACACAGATCCAGGGACATGGATGGTTTGGTCATAGAATTGGGATGTTCTTGAAAATATTCATTATAACAGCATCACAAGCTTCAGCTTGCAATGTAATTATATATTTGTAGGTGCCAGGTGAAAGGGTGTAATTTCATTTATTTTCTTTTAACATAAATGCACTTCTCCTTATAAAAGGTGATAATAGAACCAACACAAATATGACTCCTGAAACATCCTGTGTAGTGTTCTCATTGTGGATGAGTTTACTCTCCTTTTAGAGATATTCAAACCTCTTAATCAGGCTGTACCGTGGTGCACTGGGTAGCACTGTTTCCTCAGAGCAAGACGGTTCTGGGTTCGAATCCTGCATGGAGTTTGCATGTTCTCCCTGTTCATGTGTGGGTTCTCTCCGGGTACTCCAGCTTCCTCCCACAGTCAAAAAAACATGACTGTTAGGTTAATTGGCTTCTCTAAATAGAATGAGATAGACACCGGCTGCACTTTGACCCTGACAGGACTAAGTGGAAGAAGATGGATGGATGGATACTACTTAAAAGTCTTTTTTAAAATTATATTTTTCATGTTAAAGCTCAGAATTAAAAAAGTTTCTCTGGATTTTGTTGTGAAAAACAGGATTAGCTCCTTCCATTTCCGTAACATTTCTCACCAGCTTTCAAACATGCTACAGCCACTGAGTTTTAATAGGGGTGCTTTACAGTTATACACTACTTTTAATTGACCTGTTTAACAAGAAAGCACTTAAATATATATGTGTGAATCCTGCATATATGGAGCTCTAACCTCTAACAGAGCATTAGGTCAAGTGAAGACCTTTATATCACAATGATAAAATGCTGGGAAGACTCATGGGGCATTTTGGGAGTTTGAAGGGATGCTGGGCCTGATGTTGAGGTATTCCAGAACAAAAATCTGCAAGATCTTGTTGAGATTCTCAATAGTGGGGCGATCCAGGTTTTCTTCGTTGTCGTCAAATGTGTGCCACACAGCCGGGAAGGGGTAGGGTATGAGGTGGAGGATCTTAACACCTAAAACAGAAGGAGAGGATTAGCAAAGAAGAAAGAAAAAGGGATTATAAACTGATTTAAAAGCATGGCTAATCTGGCCCAGGCTGTACATACCTCGGTGTAGGAACGGTATGTGATCATCGAGAATATGGCCCACAGGACGATCAGGCCAGAAGTACAGCACGCTGTTAGGATGCCCAACAAGCTGGTTCATGGAATGCAGACGCTTTTCTGAGTTTATATGGAGAAAAAAGATGCAACTGTTTAGTTGAAAAAATCTATTTTTTAAATCTTATCTAATGCTTAAACTGGAAATCTATGCATGAAAAATGTCTGATAAAGGCTTAAGGACAAAGGTATCATTTGTCCACACATTTGGTGCTCAAAAACACAAACAATGTATTTTATTGGGATTTTAAGTGTGAATGAGTTAGCGAACAATAGTGAACATAAGTATAAAGAAGTGTAAAGAAGAAAAAGTGTAAAGAACAAGGTCAGGCTTAAAGTCAGGGAGCATTAATCTGAGAAACAGCCAAGAGAACCAGTGATTCAAAGGGGAATCAGAGATCTATGGCTCAAGGGGTAGTATCTATATACCTGCTAGTCGTGCACTCCACAAATCTGACCTTTTCTTTAAGAATCGGAATTGATTGTTGGGAAAATAGCCAAGACAAGTCCTCCCTCCACAGATCGAACTTGCAAAATACCATAAGTCAAAAAACCTTGGACTATCATCGTATTCTGGTTTGAATGCTGTAGAACTTGATATATTGCTGCCATTTTCCCCACAGTTAGAATTAATAAACTATTTTCTAAAAACTACAAAAAAGAAATAGCATATTATGAAGTGTTCCAGTACCTCAGATGCATTTTTATGTGAGATGATTAAGATTAACCTTGTGCTGGTTGCCAAGACAAGTCCTCCCTCAACAGATTGAACTTGCTAAATACTCTAAGTCAAAAAAAATTGGACTATCATTGTATTCTGGTTTGAATGCAGTTTAACTGGCTCCAGAGTGAAACTTGGTTACATGGAGGAAACATCTTAGAGGCTGCAGCAGGTCACTGGTCTGTGGGTGGGCAACGTCATTATGCAACCAAACAGGTCCGACAGGCCGCAGCCTCAGCACACATCACAGCTGACTGGAAAGATGAAATCTAGCTTCTGTGACTTCCTTAAAAGTATTTTTAAATTTCGCATACACAACCCTGACTCGCTGTTTTAGATGTGCTGATAGTGGTCAGAAATGCTTTGATTATTATTCGAAACCCCACATATCTGTAGTGATTATTCACCAATATCCTGCAGCTTAGAGAGCCAGGAGGTGGTGCTGGGGAACTGGTTCCCGAAGATGGGGCTAGGGGCCCCGATGAGGTCCAGCAGCACAAACAGATCCTGTGGAGGGGAAAGAGAAAGGGAGGGGTTAATGCTACACGTCACTTTGTTTTTCTCATGAGAAACTCTTGTTGCGCATCCTGAGGATAAACTTTCTGACACAGAGCCGATCTCATGATAATCCCACCTCGGAGGTCTACTTTGAAGCATTACATCATGTGGTCCGTGGTGTAACACCGACATTACCTTATTAACTACAAGACACAGCAAAGTCACATCTATATACAGGCACCACTGCTCCAGTACATTTCAGAGGGAAAGGTTTTTATTTCTTGATACATCGCTGCCATTTTCCCACAGCTAGAATTGATAAACTATTTCTTAAAAACTACAAAAAATTGGATATTATGAAGTATTCCAGTACCTCACAAATCTATTTTTATGTAAGATTATTAAGATTAACATTGTACTGGCTGAAGTTTACCAATAAAAAAAAAATATTAGTATAACAAATAAACCACTTTTATTCTGTCTGTTTGAGTGTGTGTGGTGTTGATGATTTACATGTAAACCACTTCTGGTGTGTTACTTAAAAAATTGCCATCTAATGCTAAACAAGATTAAGTAAAAAAAAAACCTCTTTAAAAGGACATAACCAGTAGAAAAAAATAAAAAGATCCCAATCTATTTAATATCTTACAAGTCCTTATCAGAGGTGTCAAGTAACGAAGTACAAATACATCGTTACTGTA